GTTAAAGGGAGTTTTTCCTCCCCACTGTCGCCAAGTGCTTGCTCAAGGGGGATTTGTTGGGTTTTCCCTATGTAATAATATTGATAACAGTAAGGTCTAGACCTTACTTTGTAAAGTGTCCTGAGATGACTTTTGTTGTGATTTGGCGCTATTCAAATAAAATTTGATTTGATTTGATTTGATGTGACAATAACCAAAGAGACCAGAGGGGGGAACACTTTACCAAAGGCTGACCCTGTGTTCCAGCATCCTTCCACTTGCCCTTAAACCAATTCTCTCTCTCACCATGGTGCCTGGCAATGATCCATGATTAGTTTGTGACTGTCTGCGCACTCCACAATTTCAATTTGCATATGTACAAATCCACACACACACACACACACACACACACACACACACACACACACATGCAAGTGCATACTGAATGTGCACAGGATGCAGTTCACACACTGCTGCTCTGCATTATCAGCACTGTGTGCTGACTCTGCATGCACGTAAGAGTACCAACACACACACTTACACATCCTCTGTTACATACTGGGGACGAAGCACAGTAACCCACTTCAGGAAGATTGGTGAACAGGGAACTAACATAATAATGCAGTCTAAATTTAGCTCATGAATGCATGCAGGGCCACAGCAGAGCAAGGATGGTACACAAGGAAGCTACTCATTGTTAGATCCTCACTGTTGGAAATGTACATTAAAAAAACCATAACAGTGCAGATGGTATCACGTGTATAATGGCATGCTTTTAGGAGATGTCTTTCCTCAAATCCCCTACCCAGTGTGCATAAAGACAGAGTAGTAACACACAATTACAAGTAAAAAACAGTTTTTTCTTCATACACCCCAGTAAGCATGTATCATGTGACCTAAATATGTGTATATGAAGATGAATGAATCTGACAATTTGTGTGCATGAGTGTGTGTATGTATTGAGTGAGAGGGATTTTAGGAGAATCAATATTGGAGGGCTTAAATCACATTACCCATTGAGCTGCAAGAGAGAATGAGAGGAGCATTGTCAATATTTAGTGTGAACATTTAATTAAAGCTAGAGTGCTGATGAGACATGCACACACTGCCACCACAGCAGCAAGCATGCAAAAAGCCACACGATGGAAGTGGGAATCTGCTTAGCATTTACTGGGAGCACACACATCACACAGTCTAGTATGACCTTCACAATACACTGTTAAAAAGTTTGGAATATAAAATGGTGAGGGCTATATCAGTTGTGTAATTAAAATGTAGACCTTGATGACTCTGACTCGAGTAACAGGGACTCAATTCAGACTCAACTCTGATTATTTTTTGGCGACTCGGACTCGACTTGGACTCAAACACAGAGGACTCGAGCCTCGACCCAGACTCATACACCGGGGGCTTGACTACGACACTGGCACCTGCATGCACGCACCCACACATAAACATACAATAAACCCTGCATTTTGCTAATGAAAACAATATGCTCAGAATGATAATGGATTCAGACCTGACATTTGGGCTAACAGTCATTCCATTATAGTCCTGAATATGCAAATATGTGTGTGTGTGTGTGTGCATCAGTGTAGCTAAATTTAATATAAAAACAAATTTTTTGCCCATGATGAAGTTGAGACAAGGACAGGAAAAAATATCATGAAAAAATAAAGCAAGAAGGGAGAATGAAACCTCAAAATGATGTCAAAGTTCATGTTAGAGCATCACATCCACATCCTCAAACATCTATTAGTCTATTTAAATACACACAGTGATCCTTATTCTGACCACCAGACACAAACTGGCACCGTTATTTTATATGTTTCTATATCTGACCTAAAAACTGGACCTTTTAAATCAGTTAATACCCTGTGGTTATCAAATTAACTCAGCTAAAATGCTGGAGATGGTCAAAGCAATAGTAATACCAACCAAATATCTCATGTCTTTTGACAGTATCACTGTCACATTGTACAATAATACCATTACTTGCTAAATATGGTGAACAATAGGTCTAGGTGCTAAAAATATGATTTTGATATACAGTTGCCTCACTGCTTCATTACTTGAGCCATATTGTAAATGTCAAGGGGATATGAGCTACTCAGTGACATTGTTTAGCAGCATTAAGGCTCTGTCTCTGGGGTATATATGACATCATCAAATGTCGGGGACATCTGTGGACTGTATGAGTTGTGGTTTGGGTCTGAGAATGAATGAATTAGGAGCGCTGTGTGTTTTTATGAGTCCAAGAAAGATCAGAAGATCAGAAAACCTCTTCTCAGGTCAGCTGCATGTTTCTTTCCTTTTCAATAGCCTATTGAATACAAAGCACCAACACCCCCCACCCCACCCCAAAACACACACACACACACACACACATGCACTCTCTGTATTTCTGCAACACACTGTATACACACATGATCCAGTGTGTATGAGTCAGGAGTAGGGACATTGTATGAGCAGCACAAAAAGCCGAGAGAGGAGTGTTCGATTGTAGGGTTATTTCATAACCCTGTCACAACAGGAGTTGTTGTTAGCCAATAGTTGGCTTTAAACTGTCCAGTGCCTCATCATAAGTTGTGTCAAATACCACAATGCTGTCTACCTTGTTGAGCACTGCATTAACATGTGAACAGTTGTTGTCACACTTCATTACATAATAATGCACTGCATTGATATACACAAGAAACAGTTAGTTTTCCCTCCCTAATGGAAAGCATATGCTGTCTTGGTTGGATCTGCAGTCACTATGAAGCTATTTGATGGGATTTTCATGCAGCTCATACTGATGAGGTCGAAGAGGCTCATGATTGGCTGAGAGGCCTTGAGGCAGGAGCTAAGCACTGGGGTCAAAGTAATTTCATAGGTGCTGGTCATAACTACCCTTTTTAATCTGTTCCTATTACCACATGAAACACATGTGCATACACAAATACAGCTACACACTCTCCATCTTTCTATCTCTCACACACATTTAAAGCCCCCTATCTGATCAGGGAGCATGGTTTGTGTGAATGAGGTGATTCCACTGATCAAGACCGACTCACCTGACACAGAAGTAGAGGACGATGGGACCAGACTTCTTGGGGAACTCATGTTCTAATACCCTGCGGTCCAATTGGAGCCAGCTAAAATGGCCCCTGATAAGACAAAACAACACAGTCTATTAGTACTGAACAGAGAGATGTCTGAACAAACAACAAAAACAATTCAATGAAAACTTCCATCTTGTGACATTGAACATTTCCTCCCCAGATTCATTGTCCTGTTGGCCATGTCTTTCCTTATGTTCCCCCCACGTCTGTCCCCCTCTCTTTTCTCTCTCTCTCCTACAGAGAGAAAAACTGCAGAGACAGCTTGTCACCCTGGTAACCCTGCATGGTCTCCTGAGCAACTGAGCAACATCTTTCTCAAACTCTCTGTCTCTCTCCCTCTTTTTTCCCCACACAACCTCTTTGACCACTGAGCCATCAGAGCTGAGGCATCTGCTCTCCCCAGGCATATGTAACAAATCAACACATCATAGAATAAGCCCTGGGGGACTAAGACTGCAAAGCTGATATTGCTGTGCTGGACTGACACTGACTATGTCACAGCAGTGTAAAATGCCACAGAGCAGAGGCCAGTCTTCCTTTCTGAGATGAAACACAAAAGAGACACAAAGGTATTGACAGTGTTTGCCTGTATGTAAATCATTTGCATGTTTGCTTGAATGGTTTCTGTCTCTCTAGGTCACCAAACACACTAAAGCTAATTTGAATGTCATTTTTGCATTTCAAACATCGTTCTTGTAACAACCCATCAGGTAGACAGGCTCATGACCTTTTGCTATCTTTTAAAAACAGTCTCACTGTAACATCACAGCCCTTTATAGAAACCCTATCATTCATCAGTTTGTGGTTCAGTGTGATATTCATGATGGCCATGATTCTTTGTGTTAACCAGACTGAATACAGCTAAGTATTTCATTTGTAAGTGAAAAAGAAGTGAATACCAAAAACAGGTTATCAAGTTTTTTTTAAGTTATAAAAGCAGAGAACATTCTTCAGTAGAAAAATGGGCCAAAATCAACAGCCACATTTTACTGCAACTTATGAAACCATAAATAATACTGGCAACTCAGTTTTCATAGTGGCTCTGGTCTGCATAGTGTCTACATAGTGCAGCAGCTTACCCTAAATATCCGACAATAGCTCCTAGCTCCTATCTATCTATCTATCTATCTAACTAACAGTTTTTACATTTCATCATAATGCAATAAAGGTTAATTAGTGGGCACATACAATTTAAGTAGCAGAAGTTTAACAGCTGTCATGTAGAAACATACTGAAATCATGAACACTTTAAATTATAAATCCAAAACAGGAAGTGACTGAATGTGGTTGGGCTTTTTGAAATAAGTGGAAATAGGGGTGTGATGAGATCTTGTGCCAAGAGATCTCAGGATATTAAACAGTCTCACAATATCAGTAGAAAAACAGACCCAGAGCAGCAGCCAGCATGTCAGAGGGTGAAATTAGCATAGAAGATGTCCCTGCCACTTTTCATGTTCAATTTGTGGAAAGGAGTTCAGTTAGAAGGTCACACACAGCTTCAATTAGAAGTTAGAGGCTCATGCATAGTTATATGGTCTGAAGAGACTCGTGTGAAATCACATAGGAGAGAAGCCACTTATTTGAGTTTGTGGCAAAACCTTTTACAGTGCTTGCACATTGTTTTATCTTTTACTGCACATCTGCATCTTCAAAAAGTGAAACCTAAGTGACGTTACAAGGTGATTAGTTAAAACATTTCAAAATGCATCTGCACTGTTTTGCATTTTGTGACTTTCGGTTGAATAAAAGACTATTTGCAGTCATATTTTTTATCATTAAAGATTTCTTAAAAATTGTGCTAAAACATCATATCGTTCTAGTGAACAGAATATCATCTTGTCTCATGAGCTAAGTGTATCGTCACACCCCTAAGTGGAAACCAAACTTGCAACTGCACACTGATTTTAAAAGTTGGCAGAGAATCCTCATGACTAGAGCTGTACTGACCATGTTCTCACTGACATGTTTGCATACACTGTACTACGGTGTCCTTTTTGTTCTGTTTACCACAACAACTGGCTGTGCCTGAACACTGATACTGTCTTCGCCTATCATTTACTTCTAGTGTAGTATGTCCTATTGTACATGGTGCTTGAACAATTCCATTAATAAAAACTGAGTATCAAAACAGGAAGTAACTGCTAATAGTCTGGCTGTAGTTACAGTGTTCAGGAACCACACGGATAACCACAATCCAACAAGCAAGATAAACTGAAGAACTAGTGCTGGGTGCAGTTCATCACATGCACTGTAGTTTTTAATTGAATTATGATTTGAATCTGACTTACGTTTCATCTGTGTATGCAATTCCAAAGTACTCCTTCTCCTTGAGGTTGAAGTGAGAGGCCACAAGGTCCAGCAAGTCCTTGGCCATCAGCTTTGGCTGCAGAGAGTCAGAAACATTCTTATTGTTGTATTTCTTCTTTTATCAGTTATAGCTTGCATTATGTGAGTGTAGCAGCTTATTACGCTGTAGCATAGTAGAGAAACGTGCATGTTATGTATTCTGCCAGTGATTGATTTACTACAATGACTAAGCATTCTGACAAACATGGGAAAAATGGAAAAAAGTAAGAGAGGAGGAGAAAAATGAGAGAAAGAGAAAGAGT